CAGGGATCGAAATAAGTGGTAATCCGATGGCCATCAATTTTTGCCAAGTGGACAAAGACGTGTGCGGCCTAGCATTGTCCTGGTGGAAAATGACACCTTTACGATTGATCAATTCTGGTCGCTTTTCCTTGACCGCTGCATTCAATTTGTCCAGTTGCTAACATTCACGGATAATAAAAAATAACATAATAATAATAATAATAATAATTTTATAATATAACATTTACGGATATCATAAAAATGGGAGCGAGAGACATCTATAACTGAAATCGGCAATTACTTAGTTGCCAACCCAATAGTTGCTGAAATCATAGAGAATCTTTTGTAAATAATGTAACAGAAGCACATGTCATAATAGAAATCGTACGAAGTAAATTTAATCTTGTAACTTTTACAAAACGATATACATTAATCGAGTTTAGGTAGCTCGGTAGTTTCAGTGTCACCAAATATTCCAAGAAGTTTGCAACGACGTATCGCACGGTCGGATCAAAATAACTCTGCTCGTTCGAACAGAAATATCAATTAGAAATGAGAGATACGACATTTCTTAATTGTGAAATATCGTCTGTTCAGTGGTGGAAAATAGCAGATCCGGTAGTCTGGTTGGAAGCGGGTACGCAGATATTCTTTTCGCTGGGCCTGGCGTTCGGCGGTTTGATAGCGTTCTCGTCTTACAATCCCGTGAACAATAATTGCTACCGAGACGCTATCATGGTCAGTATGACGAACTGTTTCACTTCGATGTTCGCTGGGATTGTTGTGTTCTCTATCATCGGTAATTATCCCGACATTGTCCGAATTATTCAACAGCCGGTCGCGTGTCCGGTCGGATCGATCTCTGAACGCTGTGCTTTTCGCAGGGTTCAAAGCAACCATGGTGTACGAACAATGCCTGTCGGAAAGGAACGCCACGATCCTCAGCATTTTCGGCAACAAGATACCGGACGAGATCCCGATCGCTGGCACGCTTTTAAATATCACGACAGGAAACGTAACTCTGGACAATTTAATAATGCCCGAGTTGCCACAGTGCGATCTGGAGAAAGAATTGGACAATGTCAGTAACGGACAATGTCAGCTCGAAGTTCCGTTATACGCTAAATTCTCCCTAATTTTCCTTCAGCTTGCAAACAAAAATGGACAATAGAAAGTGGGGGTACAATTGTTCGAGCCTTGCGGCTCGTTTTTATTATAGCTCAGTCGATATTAGTCAACAACTAAAATAACCTTGACCATGGCTAAACGATTTTTTTCCAGAAATTGCAATTAGTTGGCGGGATAAAAGAATTAAGAAATGCTCGTTTTTCTATTGTTTATTGACAATCGGTGACTATAAAAATGAGTCGCTAAGCCCGAACAATCGTATCTCCTCTTCCTAAATCGTTCGTTTTTGTTTACAAGCTGAAGGAAAATTAGGAAGAATTTACTGTATTTCTGTTTGCAACGTTGTCGTCAACGACTATTCCGTTCTTCCAGTCAGCGTCAGGCACTGGACTGGCGTTCATTATCTTCACGGAAGCAATCAATCAATTCCCCGGAGCTCAATTCTGGTCCGTGTTATTCTTCCTCATGCTGTTCACGTTGGGCATCGATTCGCAATTCGGCACTTTGGAGGGCGTTGTCACAAGTATCGTCGACATGAAGCTGTTTCCGAATTTACGGAAGGAGATACTCACAGGTCGGTTGTCTTGTGTCACGATTACCATATGACACAGCTAACGGTTGCCATCTGCCTACGCTGGCAGATTGTATCGTGTCAAAACCTCGTGACTACGTTAGTTTCCCTTGCTTGACCTCTCGTTACCCTGCGACGTTCCGACTGGATCCCTGTTATCAAAAGGTCTATCACAGAGTTATGCTAATCCAATTACATTTTAATTCAATTTCGCAATTTAATTACACCGCGTCTCAACCACATAGTAATTTAACTACGTTATAATACAATTACATCGTTCAAACCATTTAGTTAATTCAATTGCTAATTATTTTAATCACGTGTGTAGTTCAAACGCGATGCAATTGAATTACAATGTAATTATAGCCCAGAATTTGGAAATAGTGAGGTACATTTTTCCTTCTGCGTATTTTCTACTTTATTATTACTTGTTAATTTATTGTTCCTTAATTCGTGATTTTAGTTCAATTTCATCGTAATTCGTAATTTTAGTTCAATTACATCGTAGTGTGGAATTTTAATTCAATTACACTGTAAGTCGTAATTTCAATTCGATTACATCGCAATTCGTAATTTTAATTCAATTACACTGTAATTCGTAATTTCAATTCGATTACACTGTAAATCGTAATTTCAATTCAATTACATCGTAATTCGTAATTTTAATTCGATTACACTGTAATTCGTAATTTCAATTCAATTACATCGTAATTCGTAATTTTTTAATTCACTTACATTGTAATTCGTAATTTCAATTCAATTACATCGTAATTCGTAATTTCAATTCAATTACATCGTAATTCGTAATTTTAATTCGATTACACTGTAATTCGTAATTTTAATTCGATTACACTGTAATTCGTAATTTCAATTCAATTACACAGTAATTCGTAATTTTAATTCAAGTACATCGTAATTCGTAATTAATATAACTTAATTACCTATATAGTATTTTGTAATTGTACTCCGATTGAAATTGCGAATTATTGTAATTTATTTGAACGGAGATCTGAATTACGAGTTACAATGTGATTGAATTGCTTTGTAATTACAGTTTCAATTATTATTCTGTACAACTCTCTGGTTTATCACACGATGATCATATGTTTTAGGTGCAATTTGTCTGGTCTGCTGCGTAATATCAATGGCGTTCGCTCATGGTGCCGGTAGCTACGTGTTCGTGCTGTTTGATAACTTCAGCGGGAACTTTCCTCTGCTGATCATTGCCTTCTTCGAGTGTATCGCAGTGTCTTATGTGTACGGTTTGAAGAGGTACGGAAACTCGTGTCAATGGTAAAGGTTTTGCACTCGAAGTTCTTCATTTTGCAAACTAAATTCACCCTTCTACAAATTAACATCACCCCTCTCGCACGCAAAATTTATCCTTCCGTAAATGAAATTCATCCTTTCGCAAATCAAATTCTCCCTTGCACAGATAAAATTGATCCTTTTGCGAATCACATTCTTTTACTTCGTTTTCTTCGAAGTATCTTAAGAAAAATAAAACGCAATGTAAAGTTGTGCTGAAATTTTTAATTTTATCGTACGCGTGCGACAATGATCTAAAAAATACTCACTTAATAGTAAACATGTCTTTATAATAAACAGGAAATACTTATTTCATAGTAAACATATTTTTATCTGTAATGATGCTTCTGCTGTGGCAATTTTATGTACATATTTATACACGGTGTCATGTACAACCGGATAGAGGCTGGATTCTACGTAAAAAAAATAAGTCGAAAAAGCAAGAAATTTCTCATGTAAGGTTTTTCGAGAAAACTGAGTTGAAAGATGCATCAAATTCGCGTTCTAGTATGACGAGAAATAGAATTGATATGTCATGACCAGAAGCGCCACTCGATTGCTATTCGATAATATTATCTTTTTAACCTAATTCTTCTCGAAAACGGAGTCTTAAATGAACAAATGAACAAATCTTTCTTTCTCGACTTATTTTTTCATGTAGAATCATCCCCTTGCCGGTCGTACTACCAGTTACATGACACCCTGTACAATAATTACGACAATCTATGCGTATAGTAGTTGCAGCAGAATGATTAATAACATCTCGTGAAAAGAGGTACTTTCTCCATAGAGAATTTAATGTTTGGAAAAGCTTCAAACAACGAGGTCACGCAGTTTCTGGATCTTGTGTTGATTCTCATTGTTCAAAAGTAACCGTATTTCATCGATTGTTTTCATTTCGTTTCATCGGTAATCCTCGAAGCAATTTGTCAAATATATTCGATGTTGTATTTGAATTATTTCACTCCCGAGACATCCACAAAATAAATGCATAATTTTGTAAGAGGATGAATTTGATTTGAGAAAAGGTGAATATGATTTGCAAAAAGATGAATTTAGAGTTCAACATTGTATCTATGGAAACCTGTTCATTGACGCGTTAAATATGTTGTTAACATGCACGTTGAAATCATATATTTTTAACTCTCAACACTCCAAGAAGATGTCTATCTTTTTATCTCCTTTTTTTATCTCTGTCTCAGATTCGCCGACGATATCGAATTGATGACCGGCAACCGTCCAGGTCTTTATTGGCTGATCTGCTGGAAGTATCTCAGCCCATTGGCGATGTTGAGCATTCTGGTCGCCTCGATCGTGGAAATTATCGTCGACGGAAGCGGTTATCCGGCTTGGATCGCCAGCAAAGGCATTACGGAGAGACACGAATGGCCGATGTGGGCACTGGTTCTCATCGGAATTCTCATTCTCGCGTCCGTTCTCTGGATTCCCGCGGTCGCACTTTGCAGGTAATATGAGATAACGCGAAGTATTCCGCCTGGTTATCCTTCGCAGACGCGCGATTCTGCGTCAAAAAAGTTTTTAACTCTTTCCGCTGAATGGTCAAATGCGGTCCTCTTATCAGAAGATAACCACTGCTTTTTCACCCCGTGGCCAGATCCATCAGGAAGACTATCTTTATTTTTTAACTCTCCTACAGCATTCATACAAATTTACACAAAAAAGATACGTGCATATCTTTGTGAAACTGCACTATGATACAGGATATTTTATGACGTAAAATATGAAAATAATAAAATATGAATATGATTAATATGAAAATATAGAAAACAGTAAAAATTGATTTGCAGAATTACCAAAATGAGTAAGAGAGATAGAGAAAGTACGTAGGAGACAGAAATAGTAAATTAAAATATCTCAAATATCTCAAATATCTCAAATATAAAGTATCTCAATTTTTATAGTTATTACGAGGATAGTATACAGAGTGACCCCCAAAATTATCGTATTTCCAGCAAATGAGGGGTTGCCGAGGTGATTTGAAACAACTTTTTCCTTAGCGAAAATGCAATCCGCGGCTTTGTTTACGAGTTATTAACGAAAAACAGTGACCAATGAGAGGCGAGCTTGGCTGGCGTGCGGTGGCCCAGCCAACGAGCGCACGAAGCCCAGTTCCGCTCATTGGCTCGGTCGCCTCGCGCCAGCTGAGCTGGGATTCGGCCGCTCGACCGCTGGCGCCGTTGGCTCGGCCGGCTCGCGCAAACTGAGCTGGGATTCGACCGCTCGACCGCTGACGCCGTTGGCTCGGCCGGCTCGCGCCATCAGATCTTGCCTCTCGCTGGTCACGGTTTTTCATTAATAACTTATAAACAAAGTCGCGGATTGCATTTTCACTACGGAAATAACTTAGTAGGATTGCATTTTCACTACGGAAATAACTTAGTAGAATTGCATTTTCACTATGGAAATAACTTAACTAGTAACTTTTTTTCCTTAGCGAAAATGCAGTCTGTGGTTTTGTTCGCGAGTTATTAACGAAAAACAGTGACCAAAGAGAGGGAAGCTCGATCGGCGCGACGCGGCCCAGCCAACGAGCAGTCGGAGCCCTGTTCGACTCATTGGCTCGGCCGCTCGCGTCTTATTGGTCGCTGTTTTTTGTCGATAACTCGTAAACAAAGCCGCGGATCACATTTTCGCTAAGGAAAAGGTTTCTTCGAATGACCTCAGAAACCCCTTATTTCCCGGAAATATCATAATTTTAGGACACACTGTATATGATTTTTGCAAATGTGTTGTTTGCGTTTTGGGCATATTACATCGTGGTATATTCGATATTTATTTATTTAATTTCTTTGACAAATTTGGCTGATGCATTTACGTTACGCGTCACAATGACCCGAACGACGCGACACATATGGGCGACACCTAACCTTTGACTAGATCTGAGAATGAATTTTTCTTGTAATATATTCGATCGAACGAAATTTTAGGTCGTTTAGAATGCAAAGGGATCGAAATACCGACCACTACGATTTTGAACTTTCTGGTTTCAGTTTCGTCGATTAAGTGACACCGATTTTGTAGGAATTTTTAGGGTTTACTGTCGGCACTTCACGTGTGAAAAATAGGCTGTCGCTAACGAATCGTTTACTTTTCAATACAGATTCTTCGGGATACTCATAATCGAGGATAACGAGAAAGCCTGGTTCCCCGCGGCAGATTTGAAAGAGTTTCACGGAATTATGCCGCACGAAGTCACGCCCGCCGAGACATTGCTGTTCTGCATAAGAAGCGACGGGTCCGAAGGATTCTGTTGTCCGACCGGTGGTCCCAGCGACGACGACGAGGACCTCACCTAGGAATGGTTGTCGTCGCCGATGTTGGGCTAATGTGTGTTTAAATGGTTCATAGGTCGGAAAACAGCGTTCTCTCATTTTTCAATGCGCCTCGACCCCCGATATTTAACCCACGTTGTAGCTCCAAGTCGATGTTCAACGACAACAACCCTTAAATGGACCTTCGTAGTGCTGCAGGCGTTCCGGTCGGTTTGATCCAAATCGCATTTCTCGTTATACAGGGTGGTCCATAACTATATTAACACCCAGAAAGAGGCGATTCCTGAGGCGATTCGAAGTAACTTTTTCCTTAGCAAAAATCCAATCCGCGGCTTTGTTCACGAGTTATTAACCAAAAAACAGTGACCAATGGAAGGCGAGCACGCCTAGTGCTAGGCAGCCGTGTCAATCAACGGAACTGAGCTTCGACCGCTCGTTGAGTTGGCCGCCTTGCACCCAGCAAAGCTCGTCTCTCATTGGTCAGTGTTTCTCGCTAATAACTCGTAAACAAAGCCGCGGATTGCATTTTCGCTAAGGAAAAAGTTACTTCAAATGATCCGAGGAATCATCCCTTCCCTGCTGTTAACATAATTACGGTAGACACCTATACAGAGAATATACAACCGGTTTATTGTACGATTCGCTTTCGAGTCTTTGTACTTCATTTACCGAGAGCCTGTTAACGGGATTTTCAACGATTGGAGCGTACGTAAAGGAGAAGCTTGATAATATTCTTTCAAATAATTATTTCAGAAGCAATGAATGCATTGCTTTTAAAATGTACATATGTAATATTTATTTTATGTATATCTCGATATACATAAGATTTCGAATGATTTGTTCAATTACAGATGAAATTGTTATTGCGTTCGAGCAATTCGTTAAGAAATTCTCAATCGTTGATCTTCAACATTGAAACGACTGTCAGAAAACTGCCGATACATAAAGTGTTAACCGAATATTAGCCTCGATTTAAATTGATTCGGAGGATGTTGACGAGATTAATTTATAAATTAGCCAGGCTACCTAATTATTAATAAAATTAGGTCAACCAGATTATCGAATTGGCAAAGCGGAAATCGATTTTGCTTCGCAATGTTTGACTCGCCGTGTAATGTAATTTAAAGACGCGCGCACAGGTCCACTTAAGGGTTAATTCGATTCTATAGAGGTGGTACGAAGATATCGCGTCAATTACCATGAAGAAGAAACATACGTATAGGCAATCTGGTCTGCGAGTGTATCCGTTAATCGTCGCCGAATTGTTTCCAGCAGTTTTGTTTCAGCGAGGAATCTAAGAACGAAGGGAAAGAAATCGGTCGTTTCAGTCGGTAATGTCTCGCCGCTGTTTTTCGTGTTTCTGAACCATTTGACGACGCGTACACATGTCAATATTAATCCGAACAGATATATCGCGAGCACGTAGGGAGTTCCCAATAATACGAGGACGAACAGACACATAGGAAACTGTAAGTTCGACGCAGGCGAAACAAAAGAGGCACGAAGCTTGCGTCTCGAATTGAACTTGCAGTTTTTTTAATCTACAAAAACCGTGTTACACATATATACATATATTATATATATATATAATACATCTCGGTATCGCACGGTTTTAGAACTTTTCCTTCATCGTTCCTGGGCGAGAGAATTGTACCATCGAAAAAAAGGAAACAGAAACGAGCGCTCGTAAAGATCTCGACGACCGCAGGATATTTTTAAACAGCTCGAACCGGTGAAACTGTAATATCGTTCGCGAGATGTATCGTATATGCATTAACTATTTAGCGCGTAACATACTATCTTTAGCATTTGCAATACGTATTCGTAAAGGTCGACCTAAAACCGATCGCAAATCATTAATGAAAAAAAGGAAAAAAATGAATTAGCATAATTTAAAAGTTAGAAACGAGATACTTTCGCGCTTAGCGGTCGCAGATTATGTGAAAAAAAAGTAAGGGTAGCGTAGGAACCGTCCAATGGGCGTGACGAGGACGTTCCCAAATATCGTTCTACTAATTTCCAGTTTTGTAAAGGTGTCTAGCTCCTGATCGATTCTCTGAAGTTGAACGATTCGTATTTTTTCCTTGAAATTTAATAGAAAATCACGTACAAAATTTACAAAAAAAGAGAAAAGAAAGAAAACATCGATGCCGATTACTGGCGACGCGTGGTTAGAATTCGCCGAGCCCCGATTGTTTTACCGATGGCTTCAACAGCGTCGATCAAATTTATCAAAAGGTTACATATCTCGCTCGTCGAACGGAAATGGCGTATTTTCTACGAGAACTGAACTAAGAGCGATGGACGGACGGAGAGAATCGATTGATAGTATCGGTAGCTGGATCACACGATAACGTCGGGAAACGAGACGAACGCATATCAAAAACGATATACATCACAACGCGTGGATTCATTTGCAATTTTAGCGTGGGCTCGAGAGTGAGCATTCTAATATATAAGGACAATAACAAATTTCATAAGACTCGAGGTTGGAGAGACATCGTGCGACAATAAAAAACGCAATCGAACCGATTGAAATTAATTATTCGGAAATCCGGCATTATGGTCAATGTTTGCACTGCACTTCTTGCACATTCACAGAGGCCTATAAAATCGTGAAATTGGCGCGTCGAATCGAAGGAATAGCAGCTCTATTTTGGCGCTCGGTTGCTTGAAATGTATCGATCGGCCTCAGATTAGTTATTTGGGATCGAATCGTTATCTTCTACGTAATATTTCTAAACGTTCCAATGTTCCGGAATGCAAAATCCTATTTTCAGGGCCTATATTTTAAGAATAAGGAAAACATCGGTTTCACGGGAAATATGTTTAATCAACGTTTGTGGGAATATGCTCACAGTTTGACACTATCAGTGTTCGTGTGTACGTGTCTATGAACACACGTGAAATTATTAACTTGTCGAATCGAAAGATGAACATCATCGCAAACGATTAATTAATTAATTCACAAAGTTCATTTTATTATTACATCAGTGATATTCTCAGATTTATTAGCCGGATATGTTACGATATCTAAATACGTGCCAAGTTAATTAATTTTGTGATACAAGTGAGATGCAATTTTGTTCGGATAACGTTCACATTAAAAATCTTGCATTAGAATAACTATCGTTTATAATTAGTGAACACAGATCTATTCCTTCGATGAAAGAGTCGTCTAGTAGCGAAGACTAGAGCAATAGTGAGATGCGCTCAAATCACGTCTATTTGTACTTCGGATCTCTCTATTTTGTATGTGCGCTTTTGGGTATGGTCTTTACCCCTTTCTAACAAATTGTTGATCGCAAATCTGTTATACTACAAACCGAAAAAAAAACGATCTCGTCATATCAGGAATAGGTGAAAGATTGGCCATTAATAAGAACGAGAAAATTTGATCCCCGTCTTCGATTAGCTATAGCTATACCTTCTTCTCGTTTTTAAAATACCTTCACACATAGGTCGTTCTTCGTTTATCAAGAAGGTGCTAAACTACGATAACATAAGAGTGATTTAATACGAGACGATAATGCTACATTATATATACGTATACATATAAATATATAAATATATAAAAATATACATAAATATATATGTATATATAAGTATATATAAATATATATATAAATATATATATACATATTTAAGTATACATAAATATATATACATATATAAATATATACACAATCGTTAACGATAGTGTACGTTAAGGTCTTCTCATTGAATTAAATGATCGCCTTCGACAATAATTCGGTTGCTCCCGATCGGTTAGGTGATTTACATAGGCTCGTGTGTTATGTTTACTCGTATAACATAGATCAGCTGTAAATAATTGTTGAAGTGTCTTTTAAACTCTAAAACGACAATAAACGCGGACGAGGACTTACCATACACAACAAATGAAAAATCTCCCGAAAATGGATAGTACAAATCCTTCTTTCACCATGGCGCGTTTCAAACAAATAAATATGTATGAAACAAACACCATGGAAAATAACCAGACAATAACGTCGAATGCAATTTCGTTTCTCGTGTCAATATTCGGCTCGGGCCTCGAGCGACAATATTATTATGTAAGTCTCGTATCGTACAACTGTATTAGAATAATTAACATATTATTAAAACACTGTAACGTACAAGATGTTCTCCAATTAGTGATACAACCAAGAAATTGATTTTTACTTGCCACGTATGACAGGAATATACAATCGAAGTTTGCCTACATTGAAATTAACTGTTTTTCTAAAAATACTTAATTGTAATACAAGTTAACGTTTAAGAAACGCTTTGGTCTACTGCAAGTAGAAACGATCAGAGAAAAGTGGTCAGAGAAGCTGTCCAATTTATCAATAATTATTCTGCACATTTTACTTGTACCGACAATTGCGGGACATCTTGTATAAAAAATACTCGCAATAATTACTGAAAAACCCCGCTATTTATTTAAGAATCGTTAAGAGTAATTTTTAGTAATGATATTTAAAAAATCATATATTTTTTTGAGAGTTCTCGTTCACTCTACTTTAGCTCAATTGAAATAAACGGAAATCACAAGAGATTAAGTTACTTTAACTTTTGGTGGAAGTAAATGGCACAAGTAATGTAAAACATTTTAAGTCTAGCGCGGCTGAACGTATTTGAGGATGGATATTCGTTGAACAAACAGAAACGCTAAATTGAATCGACGTTCAGCCCGACTACAACGTAACTGTTAAGAAAACGACATACGCTATTTATTGTATCTCTTTGTAGTTATTAAGCAAAATGTTACATATATATATATATATATAGTACACTGTTTAGTTATGTAAAATAACGATTATGGAGATTGCATTTCATATTTTTAGCTAAGTATAATATGATAACTTATAAATATTTCATATCAATTTTTTATTTAATAGTTTTCTTCACGTGTAGACAATAATGTATAAATATTTGTTTTACATAGATCAACGTATATGTGATATTTCTAGACGTATCTTTATTGACAATAATTGACAAGTACATATTCTCGGCGAATTCGTTGACGCTAGTGAGCTGTTTGCAAGCGCTCGAGGCTCAAACGAATAAAAAGTGTCAATAAAATAACACGGTTAAGGTCTATTGCGTGCTTGATCAATGATAAAAAGAGAAAAAATATGGAATATCGATTTTTATAAAAAATTTTCATTGATTGGACTTCGTTGTTTCTGTTTGTTCTTTTAGGGGTGCCCGATCGGTTTCGCGGTAGGTGTGTACGAAGTTGTGTGTCCATCCATATTTAAAATGCAATTAAAGCGTGAGATAAGAAGGCTGTGTATCCGAGGAGACACGAAAGTGTGAGCTACGAAGTTAGTTCTCAGAGACGATTCGTGTTATTCAAATTTTATTCACGATACATCGTACCAGATAGCCAAACCTCGATGTAGCTTGTGCAATAAAATAAATAAGATACACAGAGATGCGGGGTGTAGCTAATGTTACAATTATATGTATATATATATAATTAGATTTATATATATACACATATAAATACGAGTATAATATATACACTTATGTTACGTATACGTAAAACTGTACATATATATATTGTTGTCAGTTGAATGTTAAAATAAATAACGTGCGTGAATATGGATCTGTAACTGTATTTTAATTGACCGATTTAATTAACCCTTAAGCGGACTACCAAGGTCGGTGAAGCCCTATCGATGATTAGAATACGGACCTTTATGCAAAGTAAAAATTTTTAACCACAATTGCTCAGAACAGGAATAAAATAAACATTTAGATCCTCTTTTTTATTAATTTCAGTGGATTGCAAATATTGTGATTAATTACTCTTTAATACTGTTTCAACAATAACGGGTCAGTTAAATCAGTCTCAAGAAGAAACTTTTTCTTTACTTTCTTGTGTACTAAGTACTCAAAATGTTTATAATTCCATTTCAGAATAACTAGTATATTTTTTAAAGATCACTTTAATCCATATTTTTTGCATTTACCTAAATACAGGCTGGGGTGGCATCAGAGGTGTAAATGCATCATATGGAAATTGTGTTAACTGTAAATCGTGCACATATTCAAGTCCAAAACAAGACTTTGCGGAATGTGGAGTGTCAATTAAACATTCGTTTTTGTATTTTATTGGTTGTAATTAATTAATTAATTACAACATTAATTAATTTTAAATTCTGATTTTTCTTTTGTTCTGTGTTTCATCTACTCAATACATATTATCTACGTTACATGCACAGGATGTCCCAAAATGTCTCACAAATCCGGTAATGGAGGGTTCTTGACGTCATTTGAAGTAAATTTTTCCTTAGCGGAAATGCAATCCGCGGCTTTGTTTACGAGTTATTAACGAAAAACATTGACCAATAGGAAGGGGAGCTCGGCTGGCCCAAAGCGGCCCAGCCAACGAGCGCGCGAAGCCCAGTTCCGCTGATTGGCTCGGCTATCTGATGCCAGCTGATCTTGCCTCTTACTGTTAATAATTCGTTTTTAAAAAAATTTTTTTTAATAATTCGTAAACGAAGCCGCGGATTATATTTTTGCTAAGGAAAAAGTTACTTCAAATCACCTCAGAGACTCGCTATTTCCATCCGGAAATAGGGGCAGAGACATTTTTGGAACAGCTTGTATATACATACCTATGAATGGGTCTACCTCCCCTACACCCTACTGTTGAAAGCTGTGCCATCTTTGGGGGTGCCATCGTCACCTTTTATACTTATATGTAACATAGTGTATAAGTGTATAATACTCATTCGCGCGTGCCGCTAGTAGTTTACATTGGTTTACATTTTAACAATCATTTTCACATGTCGTAATATCATATTCTTTTTGTATAAATTCAGTTTTAACTAAATTTATAGTTAAATTCATAGTTAAGTTAACTGGAATGCAACTTTATCGAACATTCCATGTTAACCTGAACGTGGTGTGATAAACATAAATAAAACTGTGATTTAAAATATTGTTTCTTACAAAAATAGACATTATTATAGTTTTTATATGATTAGGTAGCTCTGTAAAAATCATATACATAGATTTTCGTTAAATCAATTTTCTCTGTGAAACATGGCTCTCGAAAATACAGATATGCGTCCATTCACCAGTTTTGATAACTGGATAGATGAAGATACTTTTGATTATTACCAAGAAATTGCAAGATCAGCATTTGCCGATATGCTACACGATCATGAAAGAGTTAGTCCTCCAAAGTGTTCTTTTAAATAACCTTTACGATGCAACAATGTTCACAATAATTATTATCTTATTATAATTATAGAATCAGAAGTATTATGTCGCTCTTAAAATTGCAATTGAAAAAAAACATGAAATGGGAGAAGAGGCCAATGTTCTTGATATAGGAACTGGTACTGGTTTGTTTTCGATGATGTCTGCCGCATGCGGTGCTGATACTGTAACAGCATGCGAGGTATTTCATTTCTATAGAAATTTCATTATTTTATTATATTTGTAAATATAGAATTTATTAGGTGATTTGAAAATTAATAATTTAAATTGTTAATTTTCCTCTAGGTTTTTTCACCAATGGCTGAGTGTGCTATGAAAATAATTGAAAAAAATGGTTTCAAAGACAAGATCAGATTGATACCGAAACGATCTACAAAAATAACAGTGGGACGGGATGGCGATATGCCCAAGAAAGCAAATATTTTAATTGCAGAAGTTTTTGATACAGAACTTATTGGGGAAGGAGCTCTTTCTACATTTAAACACGCTTATGAAAACCTCCTCGAAGTATATGCATTATATTTTTGAACATTATATTCTGTTATATTGCATACTTATAATGTCTAACTTATTACTTCTTCTTTCTAGGAAAAAAGTATAGTTGTGCCACATAGTGCCACAATTTGGGTACAAGTTGTTGAAAGTTCTGCTGTACATGCATGGAACAAAGTACAACCAATAAAATACAAAAACGAATGTTTAATTGACACTCCACATTCCGCAAAGTCTTGTTTTGGACTTGAATATGTGCACGATTTACAGTTAACACAATTTCCATATGATGCATTTACACCTCTGATGCCACCCCAGCCTGTATTTAGGTAAATGCAAAAAATATGGATTAAAGTGATCTTTAAAAAATATACTAGTTATTCTGAAATGGAATTATAAACATTTTGAGTACTTAGTACACAAGAAAGTAAAGAAAAAGTTTCTTCTTGAGACTGATNAAATCAATTTTCTCTGTGAAACATGGCTCTCGAAAATACAGATATGCGTCCATTCACCAGTTTTGATAACTGGATAGATGAAGATACTTTTGATTATTACCAAGAAATTGCAAGATCAGCATTTGCCGATATGCTACACGATCATGAAAGAGTTAGTCCTCCAAAGTGTTCTTTTAAATAACCTTTACGATGCAACAATGTTCACAATAATTATTATCTTATTATAATTATAGAATCAGAAGTATTATGTCGCTCTTAAAATTGCAATTGAAAAAAAACATGAAATGGGAGAAGAGGCCAATGTTCTTGATATAGGAACTGGTACTGGTTTGTTTTCGATGATGTCTGCCGCATGCGGTGCTGATACTGTAACAGCATGCGAGGTATTTCATTTCTATAGAAATTTCATTATTTTATTATATTTGTAAATATAGAATTTATTAGGTGATTTGAAAATTAATAATTTAAATTGTTAATTTTCCTCTAGGTTTTTTCACCAATGGCTGAGTGTGCTATGAAAATAATTGAAAAAAATGGTTTCAAAGACAAGATCAGATTGATACCGAAACGATCTACAAAAATAACAGTGGGACGGGATGGCGATATGCCCAAGAAAGCAAATATTTTAATTGCAGAAGTTTTTGATACAGAACTTATTGGGGAAGGAGCTCTTTCTACATTTAAACACGCTTATGAAAACCTCCTCGAAGTATATGCATTATATTTTTGAACATTATATTCTGTTATATTGCATACTTATAATGTCTAACTTATTACTTCTTCTTTCTAGGAAAAAAGTATAGTTGTGCCACATAGTGCCACAATTTGGGTACAAGTTGTTGAAAGTTCTGCTGTACATGCATGGAACAAAGTACAACCAATAAAATACAAAAACGAATGTTTAATTGACACTCCACATTCCGCAAAGTCTTGTTTTGGACTTGAATATGTGCACGATTTACAGTTAACACAATTTCCATATGATGCATTTACACCTCTGATGCCACCCCAGCCTGTATTTAGGTAAATGCAAAAAATATGGATTAAAGTGATCTTTAAAAAATATACTAGTTATTCTGAAATGGAATTATAAACATTTTGAGTACTTAGTACACAAGAAAGTAAAGAAAAAGTTTCTTCTTGAGACTGATTTAATTGACCCGTTATTGTTGAAACAGTATTAAAGAGTAATTAATCATTATTTATGCTTCGGCACGCAATAATTTTGATAAGTACATTTTCTAAATATGAGCCAATTACAATGCATACTATGTACTTCAAAGATTTGTAACACCTTTTCTGAAAAAGGTGCACACCGCAGATAAAGTAATATAAGGTAAATGTTCCAGGTTTGATTTTACTGGCAAAACTCCTTTGTCGTATGTTGAAACAGTAAATTTACGCGTGAAGCCGACATTGACTGGTACAGCTCATGCTGTTTTCATGTGGTGGGACTTGAACATGGATATAGACAATCAGGTATTAATTGTATACTGCTGAATATTTTGAGCTCGATGCCAAAAAGCTTCTGTATTGTAGGTTTCGCTAAGTTGCGCACCTGTTTGGGAGCATCCAGATGCTAAGAAAATGTTACGCGAAGGTTTAAGCCTTTCAGAAATAGCCGATATAATACCATGGAGGGACCATTGGGTGCAAGCTATTTATCATTTACCCGTAGAAACCTCGATTGTTGCGGGTCGTGAAATCAGTCTGATCGGATGTCACGACGAGTATTCTTTATGGTTTGATTTGTACGTTAACTTTAACCCTTTATTAATGTTATTTACTATTTTATAGCTACGTAATGTGACCGCTTACTTTTAGAATCTACGAAACAATTACTAGAATGCCTGTGTGCAGTTGCGGTATTCACATCGCTTATTCCAGAACCCGCATGGGACAACTAAACGATCAGAGACGAAACGAAAAATATATTAGAGCACTGGAAAAGAGAATTACTCCAAAAACCGTTTGTTTGTGCTTGTCGGATGGTTGTTTGTTAGGCCTCGCTGCTATTAAATTAGGAGCAAAGAAAGTATTTATTTTAGAAACAAAAGTCCATTCCAGACAATGCATGGAGAAATTTATCACATTCAACAACTTGTCGGAAAAAGTACAAATTATAGAATCGGCGGATGATCTGCCTTCAGAAAAAGAAATTAATTTAATCTTCGGTGAACCGTACTTTATCACTTCCATGCTACCATGGGATAATCTTAGCTACTGGTATCTCACTTCAAAGTATTCACCTCGCGTACGAAGAATACCGATTGCAGCGACGATACTAGCTGTTGCCGTAGAATTCAAAGATCTCCATAAAATACGAACTCCACTTGGAGTTTGCGAAGGTTACGACTTATCGATTTTTGATGCACTTCTCCAAGTAAGTTGATTTGCAAACAATAATGCAACGTAGTAAAAAAGCTATTATTTAAAATATAGTATACAATTTTGCATTGGTTTAACTTAATAAACTATTACTGGTAAAAACTAAGTCCAAAGTAGCTCTATGAGAGGAGTACATAATTTTTAAAAATTATTTTTTAGGAATCGAGCGAGAAAACCGACAATCCAGTAGAACCCCAACCATTGTGGGAGTATCCTGCCAAAGCATTAAGTTTACCTTTTGTTATTCATAAGTTCGATTTAAGACAATATGATGATGGATTAAGGAATATACATATCTCCGACTCAATTCCTATTCTAGAGTAAGATCGTTTTTATTTGTTTTCTATGTACTAAAAGTCTATAAGATATTAACAATTTAATTTTTGTTAATCTAGGAGTGGATCGTGTAACGGCGTAGCTTTGTGGGTGGATTGGCATCTAAACGCTCAGATTACGGTATCGTCAGGACCAACGAGGGCAATACAACCTGGCGCACGAATATCGTGGGATCCATTCACAAGACAAGGTGTACATATATTTAGGGACGTAACAAACGTTACACAACAAAGTTCTCTTGATTGGTCGTTCGACTATGCGCCAGAACTTTTCAGGACTATGAAATTTGATTTTCATGTATTGTCAGAACCACTAAAATAATCTGACGCATCATTTATAAAAATATACATTTTTAAATTGAAACCATTCATTGTTTATATAATTCCTGTTTATGGTATACTGTCCCTTTGCGTATACGATTATCAAAAATTAAACATTTATCATGGGATGAATCTCTTTAAATAGCTATAATTAGAATTCTATAACTTCAAACTACAAAATGGAAATGTTACGTTGATTCCTCAGGTAACATTCGCAATTGTTTCGCTAGCCGTCGTCCTATGAGTTTAGGATAAGCTTTTTGTTTAATAAGAAATTCTTTGCTCTGGTGAGTTACAGCACCATTTTCCAACTGAAATCTAAAAATTTCATCAATGTTAATTTTATCAGTTAAGATGGGGTATTATAATATTGAAATTACCTGCAGAGATAATGCAGAGGTCCAAGCATTCTATCCTTCAATTCTGGATCACCTTCTAAAATGGAAAGTGCAAAAGCACCAGTTTCAAGCGTAGATAAACATCCTTCGGTTGGCTGTGTTCTAATAACATATTCGCTTGTTGGAACTCCAACCAATTTGCATGCTCTTAAAAGGCTAAGTGCTGGACTAGAATGATATATTGCCTGTAGAAATATACAAAATAAATGAGTGTCCACAAAGAAGATTCTTTTAAGAATCATGGTTATTCTAATGCGATACGATCACTGGTTTACCTTCGCCTGTGGCCAGGTACCATCTAATAAAATAAGATTATAAGGCTCTTGTCCATCTGTACCAACAGGAGTCAATTTATCGAGTGGTACAGCATCAGTCGATGGATAAAGTAGTAGAGTATTCTTATCATTCAAAATTTCTGTTAATCCTTCGTGCTTCGGCAATGGAAATTTCTTACCTCTAAAGCATAGGATAAAATCAGATTAATTGTATGCTTTCATAATGAGTTACAATATTCTACGTTAAATACCTATATGTGATGCACTTTCCAGATTCTAGACCTAGAGCAAGCATAGGCGCCGTTCTTAAACAACGCTTTACTTCAGCCGGATGCTGTAGAATAATTATTCTTGATGCAGGGCACACTATGTGTTTCGGTAATCCTGGACACCAACACACTGGCACTGGTCTTCTAGAAAGTTAGAAAGATCCCTATAGGTCACTGTAATATTTATCTTACTATTGCTTTCTAATATGCGCGATACAGGAATTGTATGACACTAGCTGAATATAACCTAATATCATTCGCACGCTTACTTGCATTGCGTGCATTTGTTTCTTGTTTCCGGAGGGTCAGCATATATTTCTGATAATTCTTGCCATACAGATTCTTCGTTTGTCATAATAATAATGTAGAAAAATATAAAAGATATCGATCGCTGAACAATGATAAAGGTGCACACATAATAAACAGTAAGAGATTGCGTGAAACTGATAATCGAACGTGACTAGAAAAATTATTAACGGAATCACAAATATATTTTCGAAATACTAATATACATATATTAAACTGTCATTGTACATAAGACTTTTGTACAGAACATAAACAAATGTTTCGAAAGATTTTTAATAGAGTGTTACAACATGACATGCATATCTTGGAACAACTTTCATTTGGTTCCCAAAATAACATCCTATTACGCTGTCCTAATCTTTGTCAATCGTACATTTAATATTAAATATAGATATATGTGTATAAGAATAATTGTAATAATCGAATACATAACATCTAAAAGAAATTTTAAACAACTAGACATGCCACGACACGGGTGACAGTAGCGTCATTTAGAGCGGCAGGTTTGTGAACTAATTATCCCTATCGCTATAGCGTATAAGATAAAGATAGAGATACGGTGCGACAAGCATAGACGGTGCAGTCAAGAAAATCAACTACGCAAGACGCGACGCATGCGCAGGGAGTTCCGCATAGCGGCGTGGGGAGTCTACCTGGCGAATATTACAATTCTGACCTATGATCAGATGGAGATTCTGTGTCGCATCGCCATCGTAGTTTAGAATTATAATGTTCACTCGGTAGACGCTTGACGTCACTGTGCGGGACTCTCAGCGTATGCGTCGTCTTGCGTAGTCCATTGAGCACAGATAGAACCACACTCGTGCCACCACAAACTTTTCTGCAGGACTTCGAATTCCCCGGTACGTACACGCGAAGTATGACGAGCAAGAAGGTATTCGACAAGGAAAGACTTATACAATAGAGCCTTTCGATAACCTGACTAGACGATAGGGAATTCATTAATAACAAGCTTCCGATTAATAACTTGGAAATATTAGCAATTGGAGAATATATGTATAATAGATCTTCAACAACTTTCATATATAGCTTTCGATCGAATGTTCGTTCTAATTAAATAGCTTTTAGTAACTATATAAATATTTGTCCTAACATCACTGCGCAAAGATTTAACATATCTTGCATAAAGATTTGTGCATTGGATAATAAGAAAAAACAGGAAGAAGAAGAATGGAACTTCTGTCAATCAAGAAGAAAAGAAAAAGAACACGACCTCTGCTGACCTTGTCGCGCACTGTCTCCAACTTTGTCTTACATATTGCGAAGACAGAGAAACGGTCCTATCACTTAAAAACAAAGTATTGGATAGATAGAGAAAATTAGTTCACCAAGTCGTCGCCGTAGACGGTACTATCATCGATGAGGGTGATTTAATTCGCAGATTCTGCCACTAGGTGGGTTTCCATGCTTTTCTATGCTCGTCGGACGGCTATTTTACAATAAACCATATGGGACTTTATAACATCGACTCGATATATGTATAACCTTTCTCATAGCTGTAACTATATAGAACAGCTCTATTCAACACAAGAAACAACGTTGAAATACTGTTTGCACAATAACAACCGTTTAACCAGTATTTCTTTCTTATCCGACTTCAAAATTATTGTTTTTCGCTCCGTTGGTAGAAAGATTTTGTTTTTCACAAACTAATTTAAGAATGCTCGTTGTAAATATTACAGAGAGTAAGTGTTTGTTCTTTAGAGCTTTTTTATTTATCGTATCTTTATATTATAATATCGTATATTAATAAACTAATTATTAATAAACTTGCTGTTCATTTCGAGTTAATTTCAATTTGAGTTAATAGACATGCAATAGTTTTCACGGTACATAGTTTGCTCTGTAATTCCGTCGTTGCTTGGGGGGGGGGGGCAAGGAAAGGTAATAAGAAAATCACACACACGCACGCAGAGTTATAGATTTTTAAGCATTTTTTTACTAAAGAAACATATTTCAATAACGAACACACACGGACAAATCAGTGGTCGAACTAAACCATACAAGATTAGGTACTTCTCTATTTCCTCTTTGCATCTAGAAGGTTACAATGCTTTGGTTACCTTTTTTTTTTCTTTTTGGTTTTAGGTATATAGGATACTTATGGGTATAATTAGTGTTCTTTGTTGGTTTCCATTGTTTTGTTTAGCACTGAAATTACCAAGCAGCTGATAGTTTCAAGTTCGCTCGTAGTCGTTTCGGCTGCTCGATCGCGTGATCGGTCCGACACACGTATAGTACATACTACTCATCGTTACACAATAATTACTATTACTATCGACCTGTCGCGACAAAATCCCAACCACGTCAATCACGCGAATCAAGGAGCCATCTATTGCTTCGCACTTTCAAAGATAAACATATACGACGCGGTCGCCCGAATCTCAATATATTTTCTTTATTACAACGTCGCTTACACTAAATTCACAGTTTGAGACAAAGCGACCAACCGACTCCCGTCGATTCTTCCCGCGAATCCAAGATAAGAATCCGTTGTTCAAGACGGCCCCTTCTCGATTCCCGTTCAATTCGTTAATTGTCGATCGACGAAATAAATATGTGAACTGTGGTCGCAGTTCCGTGGCCTACCATTCAATTGTTATATCGTTCCGCGCGCGTCGATACGCGCGAAAAACATTGTCGCGTGCACCAGCCACTTGCTCGCGGTAGTTCGTATCCAATGAATAATATACACGCTATGGTTTTTCATTTTTCACGAACACCGCGCCGCGGTGTCTCCGACGACGATCGGCGCGCAACAGCTCTACGGACATTTTCATGAAGCGGATGGACGCAGAAGAACACGTCGAGTTCGATCGATACATACATATTATGCAGTTATGTAATTATTCATTGGTACGTTCATCGTTTTTTTTTTTTTAACGGTGCGGTTCTCAATGGTTTCCGTTTCTCTTTCGTTCGATTCGTAGCGACGCGTGAACGCTCCCGTTCGGCAGTGACGTTTTTATTCGGGTACGATGACAACCTATACAGAAGGTCCGATATGAATTTCTTCTATTGCCACGCGATCGATATGTCGAAACTTGGATCGTTTCGAATCCGCTCGGAGAGTCCGATCTTGGCTCGGCGGTGCGCTGTTATTTCTAGTTTGTACGAACAAGTTAATACATTCGACGCGATGTGATATTCATTTTGATATGTAAGCGGAGCTCGGAAGGATATGTAAATCGATTTGAATCAATGTGATCGAAGATATCTAGAAGACGATAATAGAATCTTTCGGTAGTTTCTTAAAACGTATTTTTCTGCTCTCTAAATATTCCGTCGAGTTTTTCTTTTTTTTTTTTTGTAACGCGTTTCTCCAAAAGTCGATGTCGTGGCTCCTCTTCGTCGCGAGGAGAAGGCTCGGCATTCTAAACTATATGGTACGATCAAACGATTTACACTGAAAGCGGATTATGCGACGATATTCGGTTCGATCGAACGACGCTATGCGAATCTGTTTTATGGTCACGCGGAAATCGCATTTCCGCTTGCAGGAGGGCGAGCTTGCCGTTTCAACGCGTGTGTCTCGGTTTCAAGATTTTCGCTTGTTTCGCTGATTTCTCCTCTCTCTCTCTCTCTCTCTCTCTCTCTCTCTCTCTCACGCGAATCAATATGCCTTGTATCGGTCGCGATCCCGTGTAAATTGTTCTCGTCGTTCTGTTCGCGCGTACATACACATACCGGCACGCATACATACACACGTGCGCACGTACAATACGCACAGGACAAAAATTTGCTAGCTCTCTCGACAAACTATATAGTACATACCTACAACATTTTTAGGATGTAAACGCGCGCGATTAGGATGCAATGTCGCGCGCGACTTGTTTTTCTCCGTTGGTTCGCACGGTACCGCGGTGCGTACAAGTGATAGCGGATAAGAGTAACATCGTACGATCGCGCGTAATCATAGTAGTAAAAAGTAAAAACAGTATGAAAAATTATTGTATTGTTTCCCGTTACTTATTATTAGGTCGTGACCCACATCGTCGATCTCGCGAACACAAGCTATCGTTGGACGACAAATTCCAAAGTTGTGTTCGTCCACGAATACCTAGGATACACGCGAGAACTACGTTTTCTCTCCTTTTTTTCCCCCTTGTTAATAGCGTATATTATTTGTCTTTTTATTTTGTTACGATTCTATCGTGTACGTTCCGTCGAGATCCGCGCTGTTCGTCGAGCTTCGAACTTCGAATTACGAATTTCGAGTCTCGCGAGTCTGGTGTTCGATCGGCCTCGAATCTGGAACGACCGATTATGCGATGGAAATACAGTTCGCATGGTAAGGTAATGATCGATGCTGTCCCGTAATGACGATGATAGGTAAAAAATGATGAGGGTTGTTGCGTTGCTTCTGAACATTGTTCGAATAGCAGGTGTTTGCTGACGATTTGTCGCTCGAAAACGTGGATGATTATTGTCCGCTTGTTTTTCCGTTCGATTCAACCAGTCCCGGGTCGTTGTTAACCGACTAGCGAATATAATTACCTTCCCTTCAATTTTACTAGCATCATTCGGTCTCATCGTGCATACACAACTCTAACAACAAATTGGTCCGTCCGACGATACGACGAACGCTACTCGACTACAAAGCAAAACGGCGAATCGTCAGTCCCGATCGATTCGTCCCCCCCTTCCCCCCCGAACGAAACAAAAGATTCTAATCCGTGACAGACGAAATCAATTGTTGTTCCGGTGTAACTCAACGATCCCGAGAATATATGTAGTTTCCGTTCTACGGCTGTACGCGTCGCGTTCTCAAGCAATAACATCGGGAACGATAAACGTTGGTATTAAACATCTGTCAACATTTATCGCGATCCTAAATGTTAATTAATTCGAAGCGCGGTCGAACGGATCGCCGAGCGCGGCGCCTCGGCGGATCCTCGCGTCAAGCATTGTTTGCAGTTTTACGGATAAGCGACGACTATAATGTTTGAAAACGTGCAAGCGCTCGTTTACATTTCTTAGATATTAAAATTAGCGAGAAAACAAGTTTACAAAAATCTGATAACTCGACGTTTGGTCCTTGCTGATAAATATTCGCACGTTTCTTTCGTTTAGTTTACGGATGGGACGCGAGACTCGTGGGCACAATAACAAGTCTCTCTCTCTCTCTTCGTCGAATGTTCGTACCCCCTTTCCCGACCAAAGAATTTCATCCGAAACGAATCGTTGAGTTAATTTCGAAAGAGCCATTAATGAATTTCACGAATCGACGTCGCTCGGCTTATACATAGTGTTGCCACGAAGACACGTTGGATTAATATAACGGAGTTATCTAAATTCCTAGCGACTAATTTAATCTAATGATCTTTTTTTTTTTAAACATTCCTCGTATTGGTACTTTAAACGTTTTGACTAGCATTAAATGTTATACGAGTCGAGAACAGGTTCCGCCTTCATCATGAAGTCGCAGACCGAAAAATGATTCTCTCCTTAACACGCTGCTAAAAACCACTTCCCCAATATGTATTAATTTTCTAGAAAACTCGTTCCCCGTGAATCGTAAAGTTGAAATAACAGGTAACAACAACACGATACTAATCATATATGTATAATTTAGCTATTCATCCTTATTTCTCGAGAACATCAAGCTCGTTATACCAAGATCCAAGAGATCAAACAAAAGACGCCGGCAATCCGATCACCCGAGAAATTCATTAGGGAAGTGATTGCCTTCCGACTAAATATCACTTAAACCCATCCGTCTACGTCGCCTCGTTCC